ACCCCATTAAACACCAGATCTCCCCTCACCTCCCACTTTCCTGGGAAAACACTTTTGACTCTGCATTTCACTTATATTTGACATTTATTTACACATATTAAATTGTGTGGAAATGTTTAGACCCACCATTGTTTAGCATTTAACTGTTTCTATGTTGTGAGATAGTTAGGGGCTTGTATTTTTAAAAAACAGTCATGAACAACATTCCAGTCATTATAGTTTTAAGTAAATCTATTGTCAGTTCTTTTTCACATTGACTGTATTGTGCCAACAAACTCAGTGAGTAGCTAAAAAATACTGTCAGTGGCAGAGGTTCTAACGTAAGGATCAAGAAATCGAGTCAGGTATTGTGAGTCTTTGGTCATACAGACACAGCTGATAATTTTGGTCAAGAACTGTGGTTATTTTACCATTGTTTATTTAAAGCCCACATTGCAGTTGAATGATGAGTCTATAGTAGGACATTAACTTTCACCTTGTAAGCTATACACAAGAACTATACGGACATGACCAGATGATCTAACTGCTTGTGATATCTTAAGGAATACTAATTTTTCTCCTAACCGAATATAAATCAAAAGTCCCTTTCAAATGCAAACGTATATATTTTGTTCCAATCCCCTTGATCACTAACATTAGTTAATTTTTACATATTTTTTAATTAGGACTATTTGTATCAATGCCAAGAGCACTGGATCCCAAAGACAATGAAATCAATGTGCTTAAGTGTCATCTCCACTCCGATGTTCACTACTGCACTATTCACAATGGTCAGGACAGAGAATCAACCTAGGAACACATTAACAGATGAATTGGCATAGAAAATTTGGTATTGACACACAGTGGAGTACCATTCAGTCTTTTGAAAGAAGGACATCCTGTCATTAGGGATGACATGGAGGAATCTTCAGGATATTATGTTGAGTAAAATAAGCCAGCACAGAAAGATAAACACTGTATGACCTCACTTACATATGGATTGTGAAAAGTTGAAGTCATAAAAGTGGAACATAAAGTGGTTGTTACCAGAGGATGAGGTTGGAAGTGGGCAGTTGGGGAGATGCTGATCAAAGACACAAAATTTCAGTTAAGAAGGAACAAGTTCAATGGATTTATTATGTAAGAGTGACTATAGTTAATAGCATTGAAGTGTATTCTTGAGAAGTGGAAAGAGGATAGATTTTAAGTGTCTTCAGTGATAAGATATGTTAATTAGCTTGAGTGAACCATTTCACAGTATGTATATATTTTGAAACATGTTATACACAAGAAATGTAAATAATTTTTATTTGCTATTAAAAGTAAAATAATGAATTTTTACAATTTCTAAAGAAACTAAAAAGACCTATGGGTATCAAGATGGATAACAGGATTTTTATCTGAGTCTTGCAGGTAAGAAAGATCCAAGGTGTATATTTAAGCCAAGATCCCTAGAGTGTACCCACACCTAAGTCTGTATAGGAAGCTCAGGCTTCAAGTCTGAAAGACAGGTAGGCTGAAAAGAAAGAACAGAGCAAGGAATTAGAAGAAGAATATTGAAATGATTAGAGTCTTACACATTTTTATTTTCTACATAAAAGCTAAGATGGCATTTTTCCCATGATATGAGTAGGTAAGCTCAAAAGTCCATAGGTGAGGAAATGCCACAATGTCATATGGCCTGAGATGCCCTGCAAAGCTGAAGGGCACTTGGAGGATCACTATCCATGTGATAGAGTATTTTTCGGTACCTTCTTTTCAAACACCAATTTTAACATCCCCAAACCCACCCCCTGTGATCTGTATCTTCTTTTCAAAGTCATTAGTAGTATTGCAATATCAAGAATTACTCTGTTCCTTCAGAATCCGGGCAATTACTCATGGTAGAGAGCTTCCTAGATGTTCTCACTGTAATCAAATGATCTGGGAAGTGAATTGCCACAGCTATACATACACAGCTGGGTATCACACTATGTAGATAAATGTCATGTCCTTCATTTTTATACCTTAAGCACCATAGATGGTAGATGATTATGCATGACATCAGAGGGCATGGACTTTAGAAGGTAAAGCTGTACGTTTGAGAATTTTGAGAATAATGGCCCCTAAAAATATCACATAAAAAGGTCAACATGTGAAAGAAAAGGCAAGTTAGACAGAGCAAGATTCTGACAGAGCAAGAAATTGCCCCAAATGCATGAAGCCTAACACCTGGGAAGCTCAATTATTAAGACATTGGTTTAATTCCTAGTTCTCATAATTATTGATTTTATAACTTTGAGTAAACTGCATTTCTACATATCTCAGCTTTCTCAGCTGTAAAATAGAGAAAATAATAACTTACCTCCTTTGTAAAATTGCTGTGAGGACTGAAGAGATATGCACAAATATTCCTGGCTCTGAATGCTACTTCTATTATTACTACTGATATTTTGATATTCCTATGCATTAAGCAAAAAGGTCTTGGAATTAGAATAGATAAGAGAGAAGAACTGAGGCAAGCAGGAAGCAGAGTCTGCAAAGATAAATTTAGGTGCAGCTCCTTGAGCACTGGCTGTTGGTGCCCTGCTCCTTACCGCCCAGTTCCAAGTGGCGGCTGCAGGATTTACAAGGCTGGGTGTGGCTGGGGTGGGGACTAGGAACAGAAGGAGAAACTGTGCTCCAGAGGCAGCTCTCAGAGCAGAGGTGGTCAGATATGAGCAGTAGGGGATGGTCAGGGAAGGTTGAGGCAGCACAAGCTGTTATTTCTGATAATGGGAGATGGCTGTGGGGCAAGGGTGTGAAATGGCCTCAACCAACTGGAAAAAGATTCTAAGTGGAGAGGTGACCCTAACTAACCACAAAGGAGAACTAGGAATTTCCACTCAGCGGGGCATGCTCCCTAACTTCCCTGGGTGTCCTGAGGTTGACCTATCCTCGTTACCATATGCCTAAGTTTCATCCATACGCACAGCATCTCATGAATCCTATTAATCATGGACAAATATGGGAAAACACATGTACAATTCAAAACTGAAAGCAGGTCAAGGGTAAATCATAAGTATTCAAGAATAAAGCATGGGGTACCTCAAAACAGGAAGTACAGAAAATTGAAAGCAGGACAAAGACACCTTCAGTGTTGCTCACACTCTGATGGTGAAATAAACTCTTTTGCTTCAAAAACACTTCCTCATTTAAGCATGGTGTCTTGACATTGTGAGATGGTCCAGGTAAATTCTTCTCCTTGGCTCACCAAGAACCAGGAAAGGCCAGGTAATAAGGTTATTTTGCCATCAGGAGGCAGCTGTATAGGGAAGAGGGAAACCAGCAGGTTCTTTTGGCACTCATAGTTGGCTCAATTTCTTCAACAAGGAAAGAACCTAACCCCATATGGCACCCACCTGCCACAGTGTACTCCTGTGTGTCAGCACCATGCTCTATCCAGCTGACCTCACCTGACACTAGTTTGCTCTTATCTAGTCTGAGGTGTCCCCATTACCATTTTCCTAGGGAGGGACATCAGCTCAGGAGATTCATTGATAGAGAAGGAGTGGGGAAGGGGAAACGGTTGAAGGAAGGTGGATGTTCATACTTAAGAGTCCTGGCCTGCCTGAGGATGAGAAGGTACTATTGCTTTGCAGCCCAAAGGACCAAAGGCTTCTAAAATCTTACACATCAGTTTCCCTCAGGCTCATCCCCACCCTCACCCTTAACCAAGACTCCACCTCTCTGTCGCTGGCATCACTGTTCTCCTAGCCTTGCAGAAATGCAACTTGGAGCTCATCTGCAAGTCTATTATAACCCTTCCCACCAATCAGTGTCTGTGGCTTGATTCTCTTGCATGAAGTTTTCTTTCTAGGTGCTCCTCTCCCCTTTGCCATCATCCCAGGCCAGGCCCTCACTTGCTCGTTTCTGCAACATCATGGTAGCCACTGTCTTTGTGTTTTATTCAGTCAGTCAAGGTCCCCAATACCACCTTAGCCCTTCTTAGATATTATTTCATCCTGTCACACCCTTCACCAAACCTTCATCATTTTCAATGCCTTATCTTCTACTGCATGAAGTTCTAACTGTCCTCCATGAAAGGAAAATACTGTGGCCTCAATTGACACACTAGCTTTCTGTACTTCTCCATCTGTGGAGCATCATCTCATACCCACCTCCATCCCCACAAGTGCAACTGGGTCCTAGCACAGTGCTGCTGTCTCAGGAAATCTTGGCAGAATGTCCTTACCATGACCATCCTAATAAATTCCATTTGGCCTAGGATGAGGACACAGGGACTGAGGTGGAACCATGCTCTTAAAGCTGTGTTTGCTTTACTGAGACTGTAGATGTGGACTCAGTATGACATGGGAAGGAGAGTTTCCTGCACAAAAGTCAATTCATTCCTACAAACATTTATAAAGAATCTGGGGTAGATGGTTAGGGGAAAAAAAAGCCATACGTGCCACCAAACAGTTTTCAATCAGCAGATAGAAGGAGATGAGAGCAAGCAGCCTAACAGAATGCAGAATAGAGAAAAAGGCTGTGTAGAGTCTCCTACCTTTGTTGCAGGTCAGAGTCCCCGTGAGGCAGGGATAGGAAAGAATTACCTTCATTTTCCAGATGACAAAATTGCTTACCTGCCTGAGAGTTTAAGTGGCTTGTTTATTGTCCCAGAGCTAATAATTAGCAGATCCAGGTCTCCTAGGTGGATGATCTTTTTAATGCATGACTCTGCCTACAACCAGCAGAGCCACGAACCCCTGAAAGTGGCAATTAAGCATGCTTGGGAACAGTGTGAATGGACACAGAGCTTCGGGGCCTCCCAGGTAAGATAGCATTTGACCCGGGATTGACAGTAACCATGAGATTTCACTCAGGGAAGAAGGGGGCGGGGGGAATATTCTAGAAATAAAAACATAGTGAATAAAGTCACAGAGCAGGGTAAGAGGAGCAGACAAAGTGCAAGTCTGCTCAGCCAATGAAGACTCCTCCCTCTTCCCCCCTGAGAAACTGAGATAGACAGGAAGGAGAGGCCTGAGTGTCTCCCACAGATAAACAGGCTCCACCCAGAGCCCAACAGTGCCTGTGTCTGGGGACACAGTGGGAGAGGGACAGAAGTGCTCCTTCTCCAGGAACATGGAACTGGGCCTGGGGAGAAGGGAGGCCATTTCCTCCATGCCAGCCCTCAGCACCAGCACCTAGAGCAGAACCAGGAAGGATCCTGGGAGCAAAGGACAGACAGATGGCAAGTGTGCCTGAGAAACAGCCTCTGGTGGAGCTGCCTGCTAGGGTGGGCTGTGGGGTGGGATGAGCGAGTGCCCTGCCCCCACTGGAGAGGAGGGAATGCGAGGCTTCCAAAATAGACAGGGGAAAGGCCAGGAAAGCGAAGAGAGGGAGGGAAGATGGTCCAGCCAGGGAGAGGTTCATTCCAAGGCCCATCTGGAGACACTGGCCTGGCACAAACATGTGTGAATGTGGGAGGTGGGCAGAGAGAGGGCTGTCAAAATGGTCTGCTAAAACTGTCTTTACAGCACCCCTTCCTCAACCAGCTTCCCTCCTCCTCCTTCCTCCATGCACTTCAGGATGGTGGGGACAAAAGCAGGCAGGGGCCAAGGGGACCAATCCAGGCCAGAGGAATGGCGCCTTCCTCCCGCCAGGAGGTCAGTGGGCTCCTGGGCAGCCCTGGGTGTTTCCCTCCAGCTCTCAAGTCCCTCCCACTCCTTGCCTTACCCTCACCCAGGACAGGTGCCTTCTCATCTCCCAGGGCCGAAGGCTGTGTTTCTGGGAGACTGAGCAGTTACCTCAGTGCATAGGGGCCCTGGCACTGACTTATTTGTTCTCTCTCCCCTCCCTGCCTCTCCACCCCGTCCCTCACTCCCAACCCTCTCTGTCTTGTGTTTCTCACCTCCTGGTTGCCCCCACAGAGCTCCCCAGAAGAAGGGCTACCCACTAAGTGGAGCCGACGGTGGGCAATGGCCGGATGGGCGCTGCTGACTCTCCTGCTTTTGGGCCTGCTCCTTGGTTCTTCTGTGCTTTGGTTCTACGTCTTCGGGAACTGTGGTCCTCGTAAGCAAAACTCTGGAACCCTCAACCTAGACAGCTTCTCCCAGTCATGGTCAGGTCCATGCTCCTGAGTCTCCTGGCCTCTCTCTAGCTGCTCACCCTGACCCTCACATTCCCCAGGATTCCAACTTCTTCCTCCCTGACTCCTGGGCACTGTCACATCTGTGCTTTCCCAGTTGGTCACTCCTTTGTTTCTCACTAGGCTTTCCTGTCCCAGCCCTTTGGGAGAGCCCTTGTCCCTTTTGTTCTTTTCCCCTAGCATTGAGCTGTTTCCCACAGTGCCCTGTGAGACTCCTGCATGCTTGGATCTCCTGGACTATTTCCTGGCTTCTGAGTGGTCTCTCCACTGACTTCGTCAGCTTGGCCTGGGGAGAGGCCAAAGTGATTGTTTGCAGCAGACACCTCTGCCCAGTATTGGCAGGCTATAGTGGCACAAGCTTCTTGCCCCTCCAAAATTTGACTGTGTTATATTGGAAGTAGCAAAGCTTGGCTGAGTTCACTCCCAATCAATGTCAACTGTCTCCAACTAAATTCTTCCCCTCTGAATGAACTGTTTGTTCTCTTCAGCAAAGATATGTTTGTGTCCTCATTCTACAGTCCTGCCTGCTTGATACTTGTTATCAGCAGGTGTCCCAAGGCCTGCCCAGCTTCCCCCTTCCCACACTCATAATGAATAAACACTGGATGCCCTGGGAGTCCTTTGTCTCTTGTGCCTTTCACTTTTGCTTTACTCTGACCTGTTGCCCACAGCCCCCTGTGAGACACCTGTGTGTTTGCATCTTCTGGACTATTACCTGGCATCTGGGAACAGCAGTGTAGCCCCCTGCAACAACTTCTTCAACTTTGCCTGCGGAGAGCCTGGAAAGACCATTAATTCTTTTCATGCTCTTGAAGATGAAAACAAAAGACTACTGAGGAGAGTTCTGGGTAGGAATGCAGGGGGGCGGAGTCACTGGGGAAGAAGGGGATTGATCTAGCACCATTAGGACTCCCCTGCACTCTGCATAACTGAGGAGCAACTGGTGTGCACCATCTTCCATGGACCTGTATGGGTTTGCTTCTTCATCAGTTTCCTGACGCCTCAAAATCATCCTTTCTTCCATCTATGCTGGTCTTTGTATATATCTTTTCTTTGTCTAATCCCTACCTTCTTTTCTCTTCCATGTATCTATGATTCCTCCTTTCCCTTCAACTTATCCTTTTTAGCAAGTCTCATCTTTGTTATTTTCTATGAATTTTCAGTTTCTGCCCTATGCTTATCTTCCACCACTCCATCTCTTCAGTGCAGCCTGAACTTTGTTTTCTCCATGACCACATCCTCCAGCTTCCAAGTGCACTCTTCTGGTGCCTCCTTATCAGTGTCATCTTCTCCTCCCTCCACTTCCCAAATTCCCTCTCTCCCAGTGATCTCTTGCTTTTCCTCTGAAACACTGGGCTATTGTAAGCAAGTTGAATTGGAACAAATAGGATTATAGGGAGGGGTGGTTGGAGACTGAGGTGGGAGAAAAGAGGCAGGTGAGCAGGGTGAGGAGTGACAGAGGGGACCATTACTGGTGGCCTAAGGGAACAAAGGGTACCCCAGTGAGAGACAAGTTAAACGGAGGCAGAGAATATTTTCAAAGATGAAGGGTGTGAAGAAGAAAAACCAACTGCTGGGATTGAGAAGAATCAAGAGAAGGTCCTGAGGTCATATAAGAGGTTGGATATCGAAGGAGGATGGATGGGATAGTGTTAGATATTAGCAGGTGGATGGTTTAAATGGAAGAGTTCCAGTGATTGTAATGTATTAGTTTGTTTCTAGGGATAAAGTGATAAGAGTTTCAGCTAAGTGAATCTTCCATTTCTTCTCTTCACTAAACTTTCTCATATGAGTTTTCTTTCCTGGAATTCCTCAAAATCTTCCGGTTTCCTAAATTTCTCTAATTTTTTTATTAATCTCTTCCCTGACTTCCATTTCTATCCTTTGTCCTTCACTCAAATCTTATTCTTATCCTGTTCATCTGATTGTCCTTCTTGATTTTCTTCCCTCATTTCCTTTATTTTCCTCATCATCTTTTCTGCACTCCCTTTCTCTACTCTTACCTCTCCATCAAGTCAGTCCATTCTAAGTCGAGTAGAGTTTATAATTTCCTCAACTTGGTTTCTCCTCTTTCTTGTACATTCTTGTGGGGAGCTTCCTATTCTTTCCTACAAGTTCCCTATCTCCCATTTTTCTGTCTCCACACCAGCCTCCACTCGTTTTATTGTGCTATATTTCCTTTTTAGAAGCCCCAGGGTCCTGGCACCCTGGCTCAGGAGAAGAGAAAGCCTTCCAATTCTATGGCTCCTGCATGGACACAGATGCCATCGAAGCTGCAGGAACTGGTCCCCTCAAACAAGTTATTGAGGAGGTGAGGGATGTTAGGGCATCATCTTTTTAGGGTAAGTAACACATGGGACTGAGGCAGGTGTGAAGTTGCTAGGTATTTGTTCTTAGAGTGTTGACTTGTGTCCTAGAATTCCCTAAATTCAAGGATGGAGATGGAAATGGCAATGGCAATGCCCTGTTGAGCATCATGTCCTCCTGTGACATTAGAGAAACAAGAATAGATGTGAAGTCCTAAAAGGATCAAAGGACTCAAAAATCAGGAGATAGCAGCTATGGAGGAAAGAAAAACCCAGACAATGAAGGAAAATTCTCATAGATCCCACGCTAAATTCTATCTCCCTTCTTCTCAGCTTGGAGGCTGGAACATCTCTGGCAAATGGACTTTCTCTGACTTTAACCAAACTCTGGCACTTCTGATGAGTCAGTATGGCCACTTCCCCTTCTTCAGAGCCTATCTGAGGACTCATCCTTCCCCTCCACATGCACCAGTCATCCAGGTGAGAGATCCACTGGAAAAAACATTTGGACCTAGTCCTGCCTCTACCTTTACAGTGTCTTCTCTTGGAGGAATATAGTAGACTGGGGAGATAAGACAAATGGGAAGAAGATGAAGAGTGATCTTATCTTAAGGGGAAATGATTGCTATGAGATCCAAGGACACTAGGTGGGGGTGAGAGAAGGAGCAGCTGGGCCAGTTCTGGGAAGACACAGTTACACCCTTCCTTATGGCTACTCTGGATTTCTCCCAGACCTCTTAACTAGTTCTCTCATCCTCATGATTGCACTCCTTTTATTTCCTCTTCATTTCTGCCAGTAGTGCCTTTCTAATCCAAGAGCTAATGATGCTATTTTCTCTGTTTAAATGCCTCTCATTTTTAAGGATCACCAGGTCATCATGCTATGGTCCCAATCTTGAGCAAAGGATTGTCAGTTTTGTGATGTGATCCCTACATACTGCTCCAGCCCTATCTCCTATCTCATTCCTCCTACCCTGCTCTGCTGATTCATATAGCTCCAAGAAGACCCCTCCATTATTCTCATATGCTGTTCTCTTTGCTTACAACCATCCCCCACACTCAGCCTAGAACACTCTCACATGTATTCAATTGTAGGTTTGAGTATCTCTTCCAGGAAATCTCTTCTAATCCTCTAGCTATGAGTAGTACGTGAAGCCTGTCTGTCCTCCCAGTTCCTCGTGTTATCAATGTTAAGATGGTGGGCCTACTGGATAAAGAAAATGTGGTTTTTTTATAAAATGGAGTACTACTCAGCCATAAAGAATGAAAAACTAGAGCCATTTATAGCTAAATGGATGCATATTGAGGCCATACTCTTAAGTGAAATAAATAGGACACCCATGTAAATACCGAATAGTTTCTCTAGTGTGGGAAACTGATAGAGTTAAAATGATTAAAATGAATGACTGATAATTTGAAATAGGAAAAAAGGTCCAAAGACGAAGGAGTGAAGGGAGGGGGAAGGGGAAAGGAAAAGAGGGAAAGGAAAAATTATGAGAAAAGAAAAACATGGAAATGAAATCTATGTAAATAGGGAAGGGTGGAGGGGGTGAAGGGCGCACAGGTAATGGGGAAAAAAATAAGAACCAAGATATATCATGTACAGGTACAAGCACCCAGTGATAAATGTAAATGAATTGTATACCTAAAATGTACCAGTAAAAGAACTAAAACCAAAACAAAACAGAACAAATATGGTGGGCCTCCTCAGAACAGGCAGCTAACGTCCATTCTCTTGAGGGAGTTGGAGCTCCTCCTCCTCTAGCAACTAGAGATCCTCCTCAGGCAGCTATAAGTCTTTCTTCTCAGGCAGCCAGGGGTCCTTCTCTTTAGGAACCTAGAGTTCCTCCTCTAGTCTCTAGGGATTCTCTTTCTCAGGCAGCTAGAGTTTCTCCTCCTCAGGTGGCTAAGGGTTTGTTGAGTGTATAAATAGTGGAGCCATCACTCAGTGTAGGGCTATACATCTGTCTGGTATTCTCAAAAATTCCACATTATGAGAGGATGGATATTTAAAAATACCTGATCATTATCAGTTCGAGGCTGCTCTATAAAAGCATTCTAAAATTCCATTTTAAAGTGTGTTCAGGAGTCTTCTTCTTCTTCCTCCTCCTCCTCTTCCTCCTCTTCCTCTTCCTTTCCTTCTCCTTCTCCTTCTCCTTGTCCTTCATTTATTTATTTTTTTGTTACTGTGAATTGAACTCATTGAGCTAAATTCCTGGGTCTGTGTGTGTGTGTGTGTGTGTGTGTGTGTGTGTGTGTGTGTGTTCAGGAGTTTAAGTGGTAAGGCCTCTGGGGATGGGTTAAGATCTGAACTGGTTAAGGAAAATCTCAGAAGAATGTGAGCTGAGTCTTGAAGTATGGTTGATTTTCTCATTAAAAGGTCTATGGGAAAATTAGGTGCCAAGAGAAGAATTTGCAATGCTGTGATTCCTCCTTGGGGTCCATGAGATGACTGCTCTGGGGGTATGGTAGTATGCAGTAGGAGAAAAGATAAGACTGAAGATATGAGGTCAGGCCTGATTAATACTGGCCTGAGAATCCAGGTAGAGATGATGACTATTGATATACTAAAAATAAAGAGCTACTGAGGCCTTTCAAATATTAAGGTCTGATAGTGTATGTAGTACTTAGGGGCATTCAGCAGCCTGGTAGTCAATCTGACGATAACATGGATTCTAGATGAGCATTTTAAGGTCCTTCAATAGAAGTAGAAGGGGAAAGGAAGAGCTAGGCATGAGGCTTTAGGTAACTTCATCCTGGTGGTAGAGGGCCCAGGTATTTCCAGAGAATGTGTCTACTGAACATAAGCAAAGGAGATAGAAGCATCACTGAAGGACTCCATAGCTTTGATTTGGTGTGAAAGGGAGAGTGGTTATTGTCACATTGAGCCTGGTTGTGGTCTTTAGGAAGAATATGTAGAGAGAATGAGCTGTAGTGGAGGCACCCATCAGGGCCTGGGACAGAGGGGGAGAAATGGAGGAGTAAGGACAGCCAGGGAGGTGGGAATTGGACCAGCATGAGTGGGACTACAAAGGGATGGGAAGGAATCTCAAAGAGGAGGGGTCATTGTTGGTTCCAGAGCTGACCCCACTCAGAGAATACGGAATGAGGAGACATCAATGAAGACCCGAAGGTAGTGTAAAAACGACTGCAGCAATGTATAGTGTTAGGAGATGGGTGTGGATGCCTTGTTGCTCTTTGAATTTTGGTCACCAAATGTCACAGAAGGGGCAAGTGAAGATTTTCCATGACAGAGGAGAAGTCTATTGCTCAAGTTTGGAGTGAGATACTGATATTGGGAGAGACAAAGCAAAGTGACCCAAAGATCTTCAGAGTCCAGGGCACACCAGGACTAGAAGTAAGGTGAAATGTGTGGATTCTTGCTTGGGATGCAAAATTTAAGAGGGCCCCAAACACTATGTATCAGGATAATTAGTATTTTAATAAATCCTCTTAAAAACCAAAATCAATAAAAATTTTTGATGAGCAAATAGCAAATTTTTGTTAATTCTGGATATTTTAGAGAATCACATGGTGTTTTTTTTCAGAATGTAGAAAAACTATTGTGGACCTTTTAAAAATATAATTTAAAAAATAGATTAAGATGCATTATGAGACAGGTTATGGCTGCTTATTCTGGAGGCTGAGGCAAGAGCAATGGAAGTTTGAGGCCAGCCTGGGGAAGTTAGTGAAATCCTGTCTCAAAATTAGATAAAAAGGACTGGAGATGGAGCTCTGGGTTAAAAGCACTTGTCTAGCATGTGTGAGGCCCTGGGTTCAATCCCCAGTACCTAAAAAAAAAAATGTAAAATTTATGGAGAAAATAATGATAAGCAAAACTTTGATATTTTATTCATTGTGGAATTTTTGTGTTAATTTTGATTTAAAATATTGCATTAGAAATGCATCCTTTTTACTAAATTTGGGGTACCTCTTAATTATTGCACCTGAGATGGGGATCTTACCCTTAGACTTGAACCCAGAATAGGGCATAGATTCCTCCGAGATGTCAATTAACGTGCTTCTCTTGTCCTGAGCACCCCCAAACTGATTGTCATGAACCTTCTCTTCTCATTTCTATGCCTGGACTTTTTCCCCTGGCTCCTCACCCATAGTGCCTCCCTCCCTTCTGTTGTACTCTTCTCCTTTGCTAGCAGCTCTACTCCCTTCTCCCGGGGCTATCTTCGTTTCCCACCTTCCCTCAACCTCCCTCCCCATCCCCCATACTCCCACTTCTTTCCAGTCTCTCTTGTGTCCAGATAGACCAGCCAGAATTTGAAGTTCCCCTCAAGCAAGAGCAGGAGCAGAAGATCTACGCCCAGGTAAGATGGTGCTTTGACAAAACCTTCTGAGACCAGGAGAAAAGCAGAGCACCTGGCTTCTGTGATCAAAGTTATCCTCTTCCAGATCATTCGGGAGTACTTGGCTTACCTACAGCAGCTGGGAACACTTCTGGGAGGTGACCCAGAGAAAGTGCAACAACATGCCTTCTTGTCCATCTCCATTACCTCACGGCTGTTTAAGTATCTGCGGCTCCTGGAGCAGCGGCAGTCACAGGACAAGCTCTTCCATGTGCTCACTATTGAGCAGCTTCAGGTGCTTGGAACTCCAGACCCCAGCCCTGTGGGCAGGATGGTCTCCTGGACTTCCTTTTACCTTACCTTCTTCCTCCCAGGACCCTTCTTTCTCTCCAGTCCCTAGCTTTCTCTGTCTCCAGCCCCTTTCCCAACACTTCCCTGTCCCATTCCTTCTCAAGCCCATGAACCCTCTTCCCCTTTCTTGTCTTCTCCTTTCCTTCTATCAGTTTTGTGTTTCTCCTCTAAGGAAATGGCCCCTGCCATCGACTGGTTATCTTGTTTGCAAGAGACGTTCAAACCGATGTCCCTGAGCCCCTCCCAGGCCCTTGTAATCCATGACCTGGATTATTTGAGAAACATGTCACAACTGGTACAAGAAGAGATGCTGAAGCACAGGTTTGCTCCAGGTGGCATTGGGAGGTAATGGAATGGAGAGGAGAGAGAGAGAGAGAGAGAGAGAGAGAGAGAGAGAGAGAGAGAGAGAGTCTGGGAATGGAGAGTTCATAAGTCTTAGTGACCAAGAACACCTTGGGTCAAGGGACCTGGAGCACATGTGTTCAGAGAGGGTAGATGGAAGGAACAAGATGTAGGTAAGGCTTGGGAGGATGGGGAAGGGATAACATCTGGCAGGAAGGTACAGGGTTCAGACAAGATATGAGGTCTGCTGGAAGTAGAACACCAGTCTGTAAAGAGCTTCTGTGCTGTAGAATGTGCCAGAAGTCTATCAGTGGAACAACTGTGGGCTGCGGGCAAGACTAAGAGGCCCTTGAGATAAGGAGATATTGGAGGTGAGGACTAGTGATGCTCTGGCAGAAGAGAGCTGGGAGAGGCCATTTCTCAGCTATGGTGAGGGGGACACTGGACCCCCTTGGGAAAGAATTTCTAAGATCATTTCCCCTGTGAGCAGGAAGTCAAGGAGGGTAGGGGACATGGAAGTCAGGTTCTATGGTGGCTCTCTGAGTTCCCTGATGGCTGTGTGGCCATCACCTGGTAGCATTAGTAGCTTCCTGCTAGGGGCTTAGGTTCATAGCCTTTCATCATAGTAACTCAGTAGCAGCAACATCTGGATATCCCTTTTGAAGGAGGCAAAGGAACATACGTGCGAGCATGAGCAGGTTGACATGAGGGCACCTGGGAAGAGAGCTGCCACCAAGAAAGAGGGGATTCAAGAGCCCAGCTTTGTGGTGCTTGGAGGATACATCCTCACATGAGCAAGGTTTCTTGGTTGTGGAAATAGATTCATCTGTTGTATTTAATCTGAGTCCAGCCTTCCTCAGCTCAGGTCCTTCTCTCCCTATGATGGGAGAAGATTTCCTCTTCAACCAGTTCCTTCCTCTCTCATTCTCCAGCCCACACCAAGAAAGGCTCTTCATGATTTGTTTGTATGTCACAATGATTATTCTTTATACAGAAAAGGAGTTGCCCCCAGGAATACCAAAGTGGTTAACTTGTACAAGAGGAGTCTTTAGGAAGGGCATCCCCAGAACCCTGGGATTAATGTGGGATCTCTTTTGTCTCCTTAGGGATGTTCTGCAGAGTCACATGATCTTGGGGCTGGTGGAGACCCTTACTCCAGCATTAGACAGTAAATTCCGGGAAGCACGCAGAGAGCTGAGCCAGAAATTGCAGGAGCTGACAGAGCAACCACTCATGGTGAGGAGAGCTATATTTTCCAGATTGGGGCAAATATAGGCATATTTCTATCAGGGAATGGGCAGGGGAGTAGAAGCCTCTCTGTGACTAGGCTCTGCATAGAGGCAGGCAGGAGGGCATGCAGAGCTTAACCTGAGAACTAAACAGCCAGATACCAGACCTTTAGGAACATATCTCCTGATCACTTCTCTGGCCTTTAATGTAAACCTGAACTCTCAAGGGCTCCTCTTACTTTGTTATCAGCCTGAAAGAATTTGCTGCATGGTTTGAAGACCTGGACCAAAAGTTTAGGACTTACTGGATGAGGAATGAATTTTTTTATTAGTACACATTTGCAGTGCGTAATGATTATATTCCTCATGGGGAGTTGGTATACAGAGTTAACACTTCTCAACACTTTTTTCATCCCCTTCCTTGCCCTCCCACCCACTCCCTCCATCTCATGGTCCCCTTCCCTTTTGCAAAAGATCCTTCTCCCTCTTTCCAATTATCTATCTCTTTTTTCTCCTATAATTTATTTATATTTTGGATTTCTCTCATAAGATAAATTGTGAACTTTAAGTGTTTGATGTATTTCACTTAGTGATATGATCTCAAGTGGCCAATGACTCGTTTATCCTTATTTATGGCAAATTAGTACTCCATTGTGTATAAATACCACATTTTCTTTATCTATTCATCTGTCGATGAAGATATAGGCTGCTTCCAAATTTGACTAATATGAATTATGCTGCTATAAACATAAGTATGCCTGTAGTGCTGTACTACGATATCTTTAACTCTTTTAGGAAGATACCTAGAAGTGTAATAACTGGGTCAAATGGAATTTCTACTTTTAGTTTCTTGATAATCTCCATACTGATTTCTGTAATGGTTATAGTAGTTCAGTTCCAATCAACAAGTTAGAAGGGTTCCTTTTCCCTGCATCCTCATGCACATTTATTATTAGATTTCTTGATAGTCATTTTCTTTGGAGTGAGATGGAATCTCTGTAATGGCCAGCGATGTTGAACATTATTTCATGTATTTGTTGGTTATATTTCCTCTTTTGAGAAATAGCTTCCTATTTTTTAATTGAGAATTTTATTTGGGGGGGGTCTAATTCTTTGAGTTCTTTATATATTCTAGATATTAGTCCTCTGTCTGAGAGATAGATGGCAAAATTTGTTTCTCATTCTGTATGGTGTCTCTTCATTCTGTTTGTTTCTTTTGCTGGGTAAAAGGGTTTTAAATTGATATTGTCCCATTTGTTGATTCTTATGCCATTGGAGGTTCTGTTCAGAAATCCCTTGCCTACGCCTATGTTTTCAATAGTTTCATGTAGTTTATCTTTCAGCCGATTAAGTGTTTCTGTTTTAACATTTAGATTTTTGATCCATTTTTGATTTTACTTTAGTGGATGAGGAGAAGTATTAGTCTAGATTCAATCTTTTGCATGCATATAGCCAATTTTCCCAGTGTTAAAGAGTCTATCTTTCCTCCAGTGTGTGTGTTTTGGCCTTTTTGTCAACGATTAGATGGCTGAATGTACCTGGAGTTGTTTCTCCATCCTTTATTCTATTCCATTAATCCACATGTCTGTTTTCGTGCCCACATCACGTTGTTATTATCACCGTATCTTTGTAATGTAATCTGAAAGCGAGGATTGTGGTGCCTTCTGCTTTGCTTTTGGTACCCAGGATTGCTTTGGCTATTCTGGATCTTTCCTGGTTCCATATGAACTTTAGGATTGTTTTCTCTATCTCTGTGAGGAATTTTGTTGTTATTTTGATTATAATTGAATTAAAACCATTTATCAGTTTTGGAAGTATGGCCATTTCATCCTGCCTACCCAAGAACAGGGAATATCTTTCTATTTTCCAATATCCTCTTTGTCTCCTTTTAAAAACTGCTGTTTTTATTGTAGAGGTCTTTCACTTCCTAAATAATTCCTAAGTATTTAATTTTTCCGTTTTTTTTTCTTTTGTTTTGTTTTTTTTTTTTTTGGTACCGGGGATCGAACTCGGGCCTTTGCACTTGCACAGTAGGCGATGAAACCACTGAGCTAAATCCCCAGCCCTATTTAATTTTTCTTGATACTATTGAGAATGGCATTATTTTATTAATTTCTTTCTCAGTGACTTCATTCTTGGTGTGCAAGAATATTATTGGTTTTGTTATTGATTTTGTATCTGGTACACTGCGGTTATTAATTTTAGGAGTCTTTTGATGGAAGTTTTTGGGTCTTCTATATGGAGGATCACGTCATCTGAAGATAATAATTTGATTTCTTTCTTTCTTTTGGGGGGCAGTACCAGGGATCAAACTCACAAGGCAGGCAAGGCACCACTGAGCTAAATCTCCGGCCCAACTTCCTTTCTTATACATATCCCTTTTATTTTCTTCTCCTGCCTGATTGCTCTGGCTAATGTTTTAAGTACTATATTGAATAGGAATAGTGATAATGGACATCCTGTCTTGTTCCTGACTTTAGAGGAAAAGCTTTCAGCCTTTTTATATGATTTTGGTGGTAGGTTTGTCATAAATACTTTTTAGCAGATTGAGATAAAGACCTTCTATACATATTTTCTTCATATATATATTAATCAAGGATGAATCTTGGATTTTGTCAAAGGCTTTTTCTGTGAGAAATGGATATGTTAAGCAGTGATTCCAAGTTTGACATTCAAACATGCTTTACAAGAAGCTCAACTCTTATCTGGTGCAATCAATTGGGTCATATGTGGGCTTCATGGTTCAGATCCTAATATGCTCCAGGAGGAGGCTGTGGAAATACACTTCACAAACCAGAGTCTACTGGACTCCCCAGATGCTTTACTGAGAACCCTGACATCCTAGACATCCTAGGTCAGGAGTATCCAAAAGTGAATGGAGATGACTAATAGTTTGGATACATTCCCAACCTCAGGAACAACCTTAGTTAAGTCTTGAAAATCATTTTTAAAAAAACTAATTCATGAACCATTTCTCTGCCTTGAAGAAACCTGAAAAATCTATGGAATTCAGAGAGGGGAAATTTATTCACAGAGACTGGAATATAATTATTGCTTCTTGAGAGCTTAAAATGTGCTAGATCCTCCAAATTCCGTGAGATACTATAGATATCATTTTATCTTTCTTTAAAAGACAAGGAATGAGCTATTAAGAATTTTGACCATGGTAATATAGCAGGTGAGTTGCTAGAATAAGACTTGAATCCTGGCTGGCTGGCTGCAGGGTCTATGTGTTTGCTCACTGTGCTGTGGAGCACTCCTTAGGACTACTCAGGAAGCTCTTACCCAGCCTGCCTCTTGATTCAGATGTAGAACAGACTCCCTCTTCTCTTTGTGGGGTTACTTCAAAATTCCTGGCACCAAACAACTTCCTGTAAATCCCTGCATGATAGCCTGACATCATGTCTTGGAGGGTGTCAGATGCCAGCACTGTGATTCATGCTTAAAGAATGTAGAAGGCTTACAAATACTGAGCTCACCATCTGTTCCAATGGGGAACATAATTGTCCTTGGGGTTAAAAATGAATCAAACTCTGGCAACAAATAGAAATGTGACCTTGGAAAGGTCACTTTACCTTTCTGCAACAACAGCCCAAAATAAATAATGATGGTAATGGCTGACACACATAGAACTGTTGCTGTCAGGCACTGTGTGTAGCATTTAGCATAGATTATTTTAATCAAGTCTCCCATAAACTCTCTGAGGATTTTATCCTCAGTTTTTCAGATACAAAAATAGGAAAATAATGGCCAAATAACATCCCCAAGACAAATTGCTCATATGTAAAGGAACAGAGTCTAGGGTAGATATGTTTGGCTTATCAGGCTATATTCTTAACCATACACTGTAGAGGACTGAGAAATATATGAGTACTATAAAAATAGGTTAGCACACCTTCCAACAGATGGTAAGATAGGAAATTTTTTGGCTTGGTGTTTCATATGGTTTCTATTACAATTACTGGACTTGAGTCTTGTAGCCAAGGGCATAGCTATGTTCCTAGTAAATTCTGATTTAGATATTACATATTTTGGGGGTCCTCAAGCAAGGGCAGGGAAGGTGAGTTTGAGTATCAGTGAGCTCTCTTTACAGCAGGTGGAACAGTGGCAAAGTCTAGAGAAAGGAAGGAGGTTTTTGGCAAAGCCAGAGATCTGATCTCTTCTATTCAATGGTCATTCATTAGAAACTTCTGAACACATTCTTTTGAAGGAATTCTAATTTATAGTGTCACTAAAAGACTGCCAGCTCTCATCATCTGCATGCTTGGCGGTTAATTTTGAATACATAGTCAATGAAAATGGCTGGTAAGTTTCTTTTATGAAACTTCAGAAGCTGAGCTTGGGGAAGTAAAAGTAAGATTTTTTCATATGTACCTGTCAAAAATGAGGCATTTATATTAAGCTCCATACCCCAATTTATTCAGAAAGTTTAAATGTTTATTTCAACAATCCATTCAATTACCTTTCTTGTTCAATTTTGGGCCATTTGCAATTTTATCTACACTACTACTCTTATGATCCTGAAGGGGAAGGGCACTGAGTCAGGTAATTGACAACTTAGCTTTAGATCATCCATTCATTTATGCAATAAATATTCTTTTGAGCACCTACTACTTCCAAGTACTTCTGTAAGCACTTGGAATTCATCAGTGAACAAAATAGGCAAGTGTCTCTGCCTTCAGTCATTTATTCTCATTTATACTCCAGTGCAGGAAGAAAGAAAATTTTTTACAAAAAGCATGTTGAGTGTTGTTAGGGATAATAGCAAATGGAATGCTATTGGTGGGGAGTGAAAGGGAATGCAGGTGGTGAGCACTCACAATTCTCAGTGGGAAGGTCTGAACTCTGTGTCATTCATCATTGGTGACTCATGGTGGTTCAGCCAGTCAAGAGTCCATTCATTGCTGTGTCATTCAACCTGATTTCTCCATATGGGGCTCTTCCAGGTTCCTTCCTGAAATCTAGATAATGTCAACAACTGACATTCATGTAAGCAGAGTAATGTTAATGGAATTCCAGTGGAATTCAGAACAGTCGGGAGTACTCTCAAGGTATTATTTCACCTGATGCTCAAATCTGGGAGGAAGGTATAACAGGCATTTTTCTTTTTTTTTACTGCAGTTGTAACTGGAGCACACTGGCATAAGGAAATAACCCGCAAGTGGTAAATGCTAGACATTGTGCTCAGGCAGACTATTGGTGGCCCTAAGTAGATCCAAAGGCTATAGATGTGTTTTATTGGCTTTTAGAGTAATTTACAAACTTTGAATTAATTGCCAAAATTCAAAATTAGGAAATGACACAGTGATATCAGATTTTCCAGCCTGTGTGTCTGTGTGCCTGCGTGTGGAGCTCTGTCACACTGGGCAGCCCCTTCCAGTGACAAGGTATGTTGTCCTCAAGTGTGCTAGCTCAGTTTGGCTGGGTGAGCTCCGCAGTTGGCTGGGGCCCTGACAGGCTCTGGGCTTCTGGTGCTGAGTGCTGCTCTCAGTAATGTTCCTGCATCACTACAATTTCAGTATGTGGCTCTTACTCTGTCTTATGCCACAGTCTGATGAACCTTTTAATCAGAGATATTTGTATTATTTTGGCATTATTTGTCCTCAGTAATCCCACCCTGGCCCTTAATAATTACACATTATTTTCCAACTGTTGAAAAACCATTCTTTTAATGATTCATTCTACAATGAATCATTTTTAGACTTTGACATTAATGATTCCTGACAATCCTGTTATCTCAAATTCTACTTCCGTCCTATTGAAGACTGGCCAAATTTTTGCTTCCATCCAGATTTTTGGAATTTTTCCCAATTGCTATCATTTCCTAAATAATCTTATTCAATGTTCAGCGTTGACATGTGCAGTTTTTTTCAATGCCCTGAAATTAATCCAATGAGTTTCATTATCTTGTGTTTGAAACATTCCCTCCGTCTTCTATATTTTGGAAAAATATCTCCCTCTAGCCCTATTTCTTTTTCTGTGTTTCCAGTCGAGATGGTGTATTCTGTCAGTCCATGTCATGAGAGATAGCTGTGGTAGCCTTCTGAGTAAAGGTGTCTATATTTTTGAGCAGCCAGGTCCCTCAGCAAAGGATGTTGGAGAAATGGTCAGGTGCTGACAAAGGGAATCAGGAAGCAAGAACCAGGAGAACTGAAAGAGCAGATCCACATACTCAAGATCAAGTGCTTATGCAGGTTGCTGCTGTCACAAGCATTGCAATAGTCTAATGGGGGTGTTCCTAGAGCCAGCCCTGTCTGGAGCAGGAAGGATGCTGGGTGTGGCCAGCTGAGCCTGCATTTGACCCAGTCATTGCCATCAGACCCTGCTTTCCCGCCAGTTTCCATTTGCTTCTCACACTCAGGTTGCACAGCTCCAGCTAGCACACTATACAGTGTCTAAACCTTTCTTGCAAGAAGAGATATGAGCAGAACTTATGGTATGGGAAATAGAACACTGAAAATGAGCACCCAGATGTGAAATAATCTTGAAAACGGTAAATTTCCCAACAGACTGGCTGAGGAGTTTCTTCTTCACTCTCTACCATAATGGCCCATCTTTCTGTTCCCTCTAGTTGAATACTCTATAGTCCAGCTTCAGTCTTAAGACCAGTCCAGTCATGATGTGGGAAGCAGTGGCAGCCTTTCTACCTGCAAGCAGATCTTTGGGAAGTAAATAAATTATAGCAATGAGGTCTCTGGCTTCATCACATCTTACCCAAACTAGCACATGAGCTGTTTTTCATAAGTTCCAGCTCACTATCCTTCCCCCAGGCCAGCTGCCTAAATCCTTTCCCCCAGCTCCTAATTTGTTTCTGCATCCCCCCTGTGTCATGTCTGGACTTATTCCTCAGTCAACTCTTTGAAGCCATCCAAGACTACTTCAGAAACCACCCCCAGCATGTTTTTATTGTGTCTTGTTTTTATTCTCTACATCCTGCTGCTAGAAAAGCATACCAGTGCTTCTCTCAAGCTGCTGTTTAGCAGCTCTGCACCTCTAAAGTTACAGTCCTTCATCTTTTAACCTTATTTTCTTTCCCTTTTTTTTGGCTGAAAGTTTCCCATCTCTCTGAATTGTACATTTAGTATTTTTTTTCTTCTTCTCCTACTTAAAAATATGGCATTAAAAATTCCCTCTGCCTGATGATTTTCTTCTCTGGAAGATAAGATCCTACTATATGATGCACATACTTGCTGAGATGGGGCATAGGTGATGGTAGTGAGAGGAAATGACTGTCTTCAATTTTAATTTTGAGCAAGAGTGGGGGGGTGGAGTCACTGCAGGGCCCTGTGTGTGGTGAGTGGAGCCCCGGTTGGGTAACAGACTTGTTATGGAGAGCAGTTCAATTTTTTGCTGTCTCTTTCACAGAAGCCTTTATTCTTCCAGAGGGATGCTTCCTGGGGGCTTGCCTTCAAATCAATAGGCAATAAATGAGTGATCCACTCAGTCAAGCTCCCAGGACTAGTCCTAGAGGAGGACACAGGTCCCTTCTGCTGAGCAGGACTCTGTGTCACTGAAGGGGAAAATATAGGGAGATAAGACAGGAAGTCCAGGAGTTGAAGCCCCTCTGCGCTGAAGGTCTAAACAAGATTGGCCTGGGAAAGTGGCGAGGAAGTGGCCTTGGAACCACTCGACCCAGCTTTGTCTCTGCAGCCAGCTCACCCGCGGTGGAAGAAGTGCGTAGAAGACACAGGAGCCTTCTTCGAGCCCACCCTGGCGGCACTGTATGTCAAGGAGGCCTTTGGCCCAGGCACCCAACGTGCTGTATGTGAGAGCTGTCCCCTGTCCAAGTCCCTCTACACTTCCTACCCTGCTCACTCTGCCCTGCTTGGTACTGCACATGAACAGGAGTCAAGGAAGAGAGGAAAATATGACTGAGGGGGAAAATCCTGAGGCCTGCTCCATTCCTCAATGGGGCACAGTTCAGCTATGCAACACAAAGTATCCACAACAGGCACTAACTGGGACAAGTCCCCCGGTTTTTCTGTTCTTTTGCTTCTTCAACCATAAAATGAAAAAATTGTGCTCCATGACCCCAAGGCTCCTCCTTGATCGTCTAAAAATTTTAAATAACACCGATATGACATGATCATAGCATGACATAATCTTGAGGTGGCCAAACTGATAATCCTGAATGCTTACTGCCTGCCTCATGCTGGAGATTCTTGTAAGAACTTTGCAGAAACTATTTCATTTCATTCCTATTAACATCATTTTAATTTTATAGGAGAGAGAACTGAGGCACAGAGAGGTTAAATGACTTGTTCAAAGTCAGGTAGCCACCAAATAGCAGAGTTGGAATTTAACTCAGGCAATCTGAGGCCAGAGCCCAGCCCTCTGATATTATCTTTCATTTTCTCCCACCAAGAAATGATAGACACAAGGTAGTAGATGGATGGGAAGGCAGTCACCACACACTTAGGGTGTGAAGCTGGGGAGACTCCAACTTGTTGGGAAGCCTTAGGAAACAGGGTCTGAGGACAAGAGCCCTGAGATCAGGGAAGGGAATGGTAACCCTCTTCTCCCTCTGCTTTCTGTGCAATTTGCCTGTCCCCATGAGTTACTCATCAGGCTAAGATCTCCCTATTCTAGGGACTGTGTTTCTGGTTGACCTCAGGGTAGATAGCTCCCCTTGCCTTCCCTGTGCCTAGTGATTCTCCACAGATCTTTGGGCCCTAGAGTTGGTGGCATCCTGGGAAATAGTCCTTCCCATTGCCTTTCTGAGGTCTCCCCCGTTCTGTGACAGCCCCTCCAACCTGGCAGCTCTCAGGGCTGAGGTCCCTTCCTAAGGCCAGGTACTGAGGCAGGGCCAGGGCTGAGGCAGGTCCTGACCCTGTGTCTCCAACCCCCACTCTCGCCCCATAGGCCATGAAATTATTCACTGAGATCAAGGATGCCCTAATAGCACGCCTCAAAAAGCTTTCCTGGATAAGTGAGAAGAGCCAGAAAGAGGCCCAGGACAGGGTAAGCTATGAATGCAGGCTGGGTGGAAACATTTAGAGAGTGGAATTGACCATTGGAGCAGAGATGGTGATGGAGAGAGAGCCAGGCACGAGGGCATGCAGTAAGTTTGGAGATCACCCACGGGGTGATAGCAGCAAAGGCTCTGAGACACTCTGGGGGAAATCTAGGTTCTTACCATCTTTTGTCTTCCCCTAGGTCACCCAACTACAGGTGAAAATAGGGGCACCGGACTGGGTCCTGAAGCCAGAGCTGGCCAGACAGGAGTACCAAGATGTGAGTCTCTGCCCTTTCCAGCTCCCCATTCACTCCTTGACTTCTCAATTCTCTGCTTTCCCCGAGTGATTCTAACCAGCAACTTACGCATCCTCTTTAGATACAATTTGGACCCAGCTTCCTGCAGTCTGTCCTGAGCTGTGTCAAATCTCTCCGAGCAAGAAATGTCCAGAGCTTCTTGCAACCCTCGTCCCATCACAGGTAGGAGACCAGGGGAGACACAGATCCTCCACCCCTAAAATGACCCATCTATAATCAGTAGGAAAGGAAGCCGGGACAGTGGTAATAGTTGGGAAGGACTGTGTATGCCTTGCAGGGGACAATAAATGGTAAGGGCATGTTAATATATGCTTTCCTACAGATGGCAGGTGTCACCCTGGGGAGTCAATGCTTACTATTCCATATCTGACCATGTGGTGGTCTTCCCAGCTGGACTCCTTCAACCTCCATTCTTTCATGCTGGCTACCCCAGGTATGGACCATACTATTAGAGTGAGCAGAGAGTATCTAAAAGTGTGACAGTGGATGAAACTTGGAGCTGGAGAATTGCAGTCAAAACGTTGAAGGATTCTGGGACTAAGACAAGCCCTTGTTTTCCTAGAGCTGTGAATTTTGGTGCCACTGGCAGCATCATGGCCCGTGAGCTGTTGCACATCTTCTACCAGCTCTGTGGGTAACGGGGGCTATTGGGAGGTGGGGCCACAGGAAACCCAAGGGAATATCCCAAAGGAGGCCTGGAGCGGAAAGGAAAATAATCCAGAGTCCAGGTGGGAGAGTCCTGGACACTTTCAGTGTTCCTGGAAGCCAAATCAGTCTATGGTATCATGTCCCTGACACACCTTGCCACTTGATTCTCTTGCTCTATTTTCAACAGTACTCCCAGGGGGTTGCCCAGCCTGTGACACACATGCCCTGCAGGAGGCACTCCTATGTCTGGAGCACCATTATGATGCCCTCCTGTTACCCAGCAGATCCTCCCTCAATGGCTCGCAAACATTCTTGGAGAATGCTGCGGATGTCGGGGGGCTGGCCATTGCATTGCAGGTACACCAAAGCCATGTCTGTTCTCACCATCAGGCTAGAAGCCTTGTCCTCAAGTGTCCCTTCCACTGTTCCTCATACAAGCAGTTACATAGTTCTCTCCCTTTTCATATCCGCATCAAGCAGATGGCAGTGCGAGGGTTCCCCGCTTACACCCTAATCCCCCACTTTCTAGGGCAGCTCTAGGTCCTCTTTCCTCTGGCCCAGGCCAGTGTGTCAGCGCGGAGGTGATAAAGGCCATGAAGCTGTTTGGGTGGCTGTGTAGAGAACACTCTACTTCCAAACGACCATGACCATGGATCTGTAGCCTAAAGGCAGCCTCATCTCATATTCCACACAGGCATACAGCAAGAGGCTATTAGAGTACCGTGGGGAGACCACGCTGCCCAACCAGGACCTCAGCCCCCATCGGCTCTTCTTCCGAAGCTATGCCCAGGTAGGCAGCTGCCCACTCCTTCCACAGCTTGCTTCTTCTCAGAGAAGAATCCTAATGCTCCAAGAAATTTCCTCCCTGATACACACTCCCCCCGAAGTCCTCAGCCTAATGACACAGATGTCCACATTGTGACATATTCTCATTTGTTCCCTTGAGATCATCCTTCAGGTTACTATGGGTTCTTTGATTAAATTCAACACCTCCTGCCAGGAGAAGGAAAAACTGCTTTTAGGTCCTACCATGAAATGAGCCCTGCTCGTTTTACTCTCATGCCCCAGAAATCCAGATCCCTTAAAAATGAACCTATAAGAGAGGGGTATACAAAGGGTATACAGGGGGTATACAAGGAGGTATACAATGTTCACCTCCTTCCTCTTCAGAGACCTTGTCCTTAGGACTGGTCTGATATTTCCCCTTCTGTCCCTGTGCTCCCTCAACAAGTGTGGCACTCAATTTCTCAACATACTTAGAGATGTCATTGGAGTCCTCCATCAGCCCCACCTCCTTCCCTTATAACTGGTGCTATACTAGAGCCTAGGCCCTGGCCCACACTCTAATGCTAGATTAAATGAACTGCATGCAAATGACAAGCACTGTATTGCATGGGCCGTGAGCATTCTATTCCTGCTCTCCTCTTTGTCTCTTCCCTGGGTGGGCCCCTGTCCCCATGTGTGACCCATCAACACCTGCTCTGCTCCTTACCCTTTCCTGGCCTCTCTTCCTCTCAGGTGATGTGCAGAGAGCCCAATCCGCAGGACATTCAGGACATTCACAGACCCCCCAGCCTTCGAGTCAACGGACCCCTCAGCAGCATCCCGGCCTTTGCCAGATATTTTGGCTGTCCACACGATGCCCTCATGAACCCCTCCAGACGCTGCCAGCTGTGGTGACTTGACCACCAGGAGATTTCAGAACAGGTGTATCAACAGATCTGTATCCCATCAAGAGCATCAAGGCATAGTCTCTTTTTCCTTTCCCTTGCAAAAATAAAACCCACTACTTGGCTATTGCCATTTCTTAATGAATTTCATGCTATGTTCGGTTCCTAGAAGTCAGAAAAGGTAAGAGGGAGAAATGCCAAGAAAGGCTCCCTGAACATTAGAACAGGAAAGAACAGGCAACTGGTGAGTTGGTGGGTCTGAAGGTCAGACTGGGCAATTAAACGGAGCAGTTAGAAACTCAAGGGTTTGGTTAAGTCCCAGAAAGCTGCACCTAATTATTTTCAGGATTTTATTGCTATTTTACTGTCAATGCCTCTGCCCTCCAATCTGCTATATTGAACAAAACCAAGGGAGGCATTGGAGGGAAAAGGGCAAGGGAGGCCTCTGGCCCTGAAACACAGAGCTGTGGGCTTGGGGTGGCATCAGGCAGAAGCCATGCAGGAAAGGCTGCACCCTAAGGACAGGTGCCGCTGGCAAGAGCAGGGAGCAGTGTGCAGGGAGTGGTGTGGGTATCTCTTTGGGGAGCTGTGGCATGGAACCCAGTAGAGAGTGGAGATCAGTAAGCGATCAAGAAGTCAAGGAAAAAAAATCTGGGTCTTCCTCCTCCAGGAGCCAAGCCATCTCCTTATTCTCAACATCCCTCAAAAAAAAAGAAAAAAACCATGATGCTGGCCAAGTTAAAGCAGAGAGCCAGATCGAAGAGGCGGTGGTCTTGGGCAGCTGCTGTGTCAGAGGTGAAGTCCTCCTCTTGCCGGGCCATGTCCATCACCTGCCACTTCTCACCCTCCGAGGAGGCCATGAAGTGCTCTTCATACTGCTCTTGGCCCTGCTCTGGAACAGGAGAGAAGGCCAGGCCTGACCCAGATCTGCTCCTACCCTGACCCTGAACCAGCAGGGGAAGAAGTCAGGATATGGGAGGGCCAAGGGCATTTGGCCCAATGGCCACATCTTGGGCTTTGGCCAGAATGTGATGCGCTATCTAGAGGTCTTTTCTGACCCGGGTTCAAGCACAGCCCCAACTCAAACAGCCCCCCTCACACACACCTCGAATGCTGTCTCCTCCAGTGTGACCCCAGCTGGGGAGTGAGCCACACCTTCCAGTGCACTGAAAACCACAGATGTCTTGTGGACAGACACGCTTGCTCACTCACACAGAAGCTACATGCACTGCAGCTGGCCATGCTGTCCCCTGGTGAGGAACCCCCACTCCAGACCTTTTACAGGACACCCTTGTGTCACTGCATGATGACAAGGACCTGGCGTTGTCTCCCATAACCCAAACCTATCTGAGATCCACTGTCACCTAAGCAGCTGCCTAGGGCCTGACCTCAAACAGGTCCAGCCTTCCCTCCAGACTGGCCTCCCCTTCCCCACCTACCTGCAGGGGGCGTTTTCTCTTCCAGGGCCCCCTCCTCCGGCCCTGTGCTGCTCTTCTGAGTCTTGGCTCCTTTTACCTGCAGCAGCAGCAGCAGCAGGATGGCAGCCAGGAATGCTACCCTGTGGGGCTGGGAGCCCAGGGAGGTCAAGGGCCTGCCCACCCACCAGGGCCTCTGTCCTCAGCTCCCACTGCTCCCAGGCTCCTGCCCTCTCCGTGTCCCAGCCCTTACCCCTGCCCAGTGTCGCTTTTGCCTCTGCTTTTCCATCAGACCATTAGACCTCTGACTCCATGTGCTCTGTGACATCACAGCCACAGGTCTGACCTTCATTCCAGCTCACTAGAGCATTCCATGGCCAGGCATGAGGGTGGAAGGGCCCAGCAGGAGATGGCAGAGGCTTCTAGAGTGGCCACAGCAGGTTATCCAGTGGTCCTGTCACATGCACTGCAGCTTTGGATCCACAGAGGCACCGGCCCTCCAAAGTATTAGCCCTCTATACCCATTATACAGATGAGGAAACAGGTTCACAGAAGGAATGACTCTCACTGAGGTCCACACACACAACTGCCAACAGGCAGAGCAGGACTTGCGATTTGGACTTGGCAGCTTCCCAGTATTCCATGCAGCCTTTCTCTAAAGAGAGGGGCTTGCAGGGAGCAGTCCCAGACCTGATACAGAAATAAGGATCCTCATGTACGGGGCTCACCTGGTGCTTGACATGGACCTTGAGCCTGTCAGAAACAGAGGATGAGGTGGAATTGAGGGAGGGTGAGAATGCAGTGTGTGTGCATGAGAGACAGAGAGACACTGCATAGGGACAGAGACAGACAAGGAGAGAAAGCGACAGACACAGACACAGAGAAAAAAGCAGAAGAGAGCACAGGGACAAAGCCAAGAGAGACAGGAACCGCACGGGCAGAGTCAGCGAAGAGGTGGGGTCCGCCCCATGCAGAGGCCGTTCTGTATTTTCACCACCCCTGTTTTTCGCCTTCCTACCCTTTGCCCTCCTGCACCTCCAAGCTGGAAAACCCTCTTCTCTTATGTCGCACCTTCCTGTTCTCTGGGCCGTAGCGTATTGCAGCTCATCTTCATGCTTCTTGGCGGTGGGAGGAGTGAGAGGGTGCAGGAGAGGCTAGGGGACAGGGCTCCAAGTGGTGGATCTGGGGAAAGCCTGCCTCAGGGCCCCAGTGCCTGCCCTGGAGAGCACAGGCCTTTTGGTCCCTGGCAAAGAAGTTTATGATGGCCTTTTCTGGGAAACCAGAGAGATACAGGCCACTGGAGAAGGGACAAGGAGGAAGGAACTCTCACAAGCTGCTTACACCTTTCCTGCTGTCAGTGAATCACATGTGTGCATGTGTGCAGCAACACACAATCTCCCTGCAAGAAGGAACTGCAGAAATAGAAGTACACAGCGGGACTCCTTCCAGGAATGTTACCCACACTCACAGACAGGCCCAAAATATAGCAGGCACCACCTTTTACATACTTCCTGGTGATCCAAGCAGGTGGCAGGGGACTGGGAACTGGTATAGCAGAGCACTTGATAGGGAGGAAAGTTTTGAGTAGGCAGTGACCCTGTTCACCCCTGTCTTGCACTGACTGACCTGCAGATCCAGAGAAAGATGGATGAATGGAAAAAGTAAAATCCTTAATCTCCTCTTAGGTATTTTGTGGGAGGAGCCTCTTGGTTCCCTTGCACAGAGAGAAGCCACCTCGAGCTCTGTAGTTATGAATGGAGGGGGTGGCTCCAGGAGGGGTAGCTAAAGTGGACAGAACTCGGCTGTACTGACCACCGTCACTTCCATTTCCCTGCCTTGCATCTTCCTGACTTCTAGTGACCAAAGATGTGAATTCTTGCAGGAAACCAGTAATCCCTTAAAATTTTTTGGCCTTATTGCAAAAGAATAAAATAGAGAAAAGTATTTTTAAATGACTAATAATTCACAATGCAAAGAAAATCACCATCAGTGTTTGGATGGTTTTTTGTAGATTCCCATGGGCAGGTGGGGTGACTTATTCCCTACAAATTGCAATCCAAGAATATTTTCTGTTTCTCCTGGCCATGGGGGAATGCAGAGGTCAGGCTGCTTTGTTGTGCTGATTCTGGGGTCAGGACAGTAGAGCAAGCAGCCCCAAGCTCTGCTCCTGAAACACATCCCTGGCCACTCTCTGCTCTAAGGCTTTCCCTGGTAGCTGCTACCTGGGGGAGAGAGGCATAGTACGTAGACGAGCTTTCCTAAGAGAGGACTGGCTAGGGAAAGAGCCAAAAGGAAAGCAGGATGGCAGTGTAGACTCTCACCAAGATGAAGGAGTGGAGGAGAGGAAAGCTGAGGAGAGAAGTAGGGAGATGCAAGCCTCTGGCCTACCATCCGGGACAGGAGGGGCAGCCTGCTCCCCACCCAGACCACTTGTCCGTGCCTCTTCCATTGCAGAGGACACTGCAGATGGGAGAAGGTAAGGGAGAGGCGGAAGATCCACGGATGAGCGCCAGGAGAATGGGTCCCCCATTCCTGCAACTCAGACCTGTGGCTAATGCCCTTGTAGGCGAGCCCCTGCACACCTGCTCTATGCAGCTGTGACCAGGCCAGTCTCCTCCTGCCACCCCTCCCTGCCCCCACACCCTGGAGGATTAGCTTTATGGGTCCAGTGCTCCTTTTCTGGCCTGCTCCCACTTATCAGCACATCTACAACCCTCATCTCAACCTTATCGCTTCTCTATCTCCTTACGCTGGAAGTCCCTCGGCTTCAGGGACCATTACCGCGCGCCCACACAGCCCCAACCCCCTGGGAGGCAGAAAAATTTCCCACAAGGTGACCCCTCCCCACTGCCCGGGTGAGGAGTCTTCCCTGTCTCAGACACCTCCTCTTCCTTTCCTTATTTAGTTTCCTTTCACTTTGTGTCCTTCTCTAAAGGTTGTTTTGTCCATTCCCCAATCTCTCGGGCAAAGCTTTATTTCTTACAGCAACAGAAGGTACAAGCTCCAGTTCCCAAAGACCTCTTGCCCAAGGGGAGGGTCCCAAGAATATCCTTACCCAAGTCTTTCACAACTTTATGGCCAGAAGTTTCCCAAGGAGCAGCAAAATCTGGAGAGTGACTTACTGGAAACTGGGAACTCAACTTCAAATCCAGTTTCAGTCTTGCCTTTAGCCCTGGAGTTCTGCTCAATTGCCCACCCTTTCTGTGGCCTTTCATTCAGAAGACAGAAAGGTTGCCCTTTTCCCATTAACTTCACAGATCCATCAAATAACTCTAATTCAATAGCATTGATATGCCTTTTTGAAAACAATCAGAATGACAAAGTAAGTTACCATACAATAAAATAACAACACTGTGTTGTCTTTACACATTTCCACTGTGGTCTCATCCCTGGAAAGAGTCCCATGATTTCTTTGTTCTTTACTTCTACTCAATTCCTGCTGTTCAACCTCATGGAAACTCGGGGCCATTGTGGTGTCTCCCAGGATTTGTATCTCCAAGTACCTGAGAGTTGGGCTCAGCCTGGACTCAGAAACTGGCAGGGGATGAGGTGTCCTCACAGAGTATGGCCTGGGGAGGGGAGGGCCAGAGACCTTCCCTTCAGTTGGGTTCTGAAACCAACTGAAACCTGTCTGCCAAGGTTGCAGACAGAAGTGACTACAAGGCTGAGGTCAAACTAGAGCTCAGAGAAGCAACCACTGGGCCCATCTGTGGCAGGAGAATCTACAGTCAGTGAGCTCTTGAAACAAGTGGCAATTTACATGCACTTCCATGGAACAATGTAATTGTTACCCCTATTTTAGAGGTTGGGAGACTGAGGTTCAGAACACTCACCTGATTTTTGTGAGGGGAAACAGGGTTAAACCAGGATGGGCCTTGTGATGGTTGATTGATTGTGTCAACTTGAGAAGTTTGGTTAAGAGAAGCTTAGCTAAATGGGGTCAGGAATTCCACACCCTAGGGTATGGAGGATCAGCCCTAGGGTTGCTCATCACCTGGATGGTATAAAGGAGAAATGAGGAAGTATGGATGGGCTTCTGTTCCTTAGGAGGAGCTCCAGTCTTCTATCTTCACCATGGACCTCATTTCCTGGCTTCCAGTGCAGACTCTTCAGCTTCCGGCAGAGATCCCTCAGCCTTCCATCACAGACCCTTCGGCGTCCTGATACAGACTAACACTGCAGTGAGCTCCAGACCTTCCACTAAATCCTTCAGTCTCCAGTGTGCAGACAGATCCTCTGCACTCTGCCTCATCCGACTCTGGGTGGCCATTGTAAGCCAATCTTGTAAATTAATGTATATTTCTATATCTTGGGTTATATCTGTTTATCTAGTAAATACTGACGCAGGCCTGGTCCCTGAGCTGGAGGTCTGGTCTTCCTATCTCCTGCATCCCACCTGCTGTACTCCTTGTGTGAGGGACCCACCTCTGTCCTTACTCCCTCACCAAATTCCTCTCCCCACACTCAGCCTTTCCAGATCAATTTCAGACTTCCCAGCCCACTGCCTGGAACCCAGCAAGTCCCTCCCCTCCCCCTCCCTGCTCCTGAGGCTCTGTGCCTTCAGGCTCAGCTCTTTAAAGAGCTCCTCCCCCCACTGGAGAAAGTGCCTCTCCCCCTGCTGGGTGGCCAGTCCCTCAACACATGAACAATCACACTGCATAATCCACACAGCATACACATCACAGGGGAGATATACTCACCCCAGGTCCTGACCCAGCAGACCCTGCCTCCTCCACCTGCTATTTTTACCAGCTTCCAGTCACCTTCCAGTTCCTGCAAGAGACATGGGGGCTAAAGGACCTTGGATCCAGTTACAGAAATTCCTAAGCTCCTGCCTGGTTAGAGAGCAAGACAGGGACCAGCAGCTGGATGAGGCCTACATGCTGCAACAGAAGAGGTAGGCTGCCAAGGCCCAGGTGCAAGTCCCCAACCCTCTGACCCTCCCTGATGCAGCACCCTGGATCTCAGGGCTGGGCTCCTGGATATTCTCCTCTCTCCCAGCCCACCCCCTGCAGTGCCCCAGCTGGCACCTCTTAGTGATCTTGGCATTGGAAAACAGAGGGAGATCTTGAGTACCTATGAAAAGATGGGGGCAGGATGACAGCCTGGGATGGAAGCTGCCTGCCTCCTGGAAGAAGGGAGAATGAGGATCCAAAGAAAGAAGCCAGCTGTGCAGGGTGCGCAGGGCAGGCAAGATCAGGTTGTTGGAGAGCAGGCTGCTGGGGCAGGGAAAAGATCCTCCAGGGTTTGAAGGGCCTTTTCTTCAGGAGATTTGGTGGAAGAAAGAGCAAGGAGTTACCATCAGCATGGACTTGCCTGTGAAAGGGGAAGGAGAAATTTGTTTGTGTAACACCTGAAGGTAAACCCCTGAGGAGGGTAACCTGGCTGATAGTGGAGAGTCCTGAGTTCAGTTTTTTAGGCCATTATTTCTTTCTTATTTTGTCCTTTTCTTTTAAAAATAATTTCATTATTCTGCAGTACTAGTAATGGAACTTACAACCTCATGCATGTCTGGCAGGGGCTCCATCACTAAGCTACATTGATAACACTTTATTTTACTTTGAAATGGGTTCCTGCCAAGTTTCCAGGGTGAGCTTAAACTTGTGACCCTTCTACCTCAGTCTCTTGGCTACTGAGACTATGAGCACAGTTCTTTCTCTTATTGTGGGTGTCAGGTGCTGAGGATGTGGAACTCCACAGGCCCTTAATTCAGCTGTGGTTGCTCCAACCAATGTCAGTCCTACCATGGCTCAGCACTGAGGTCCAGACCCAGGGAGAGCAGCATGGGCAGGGGGAGCCTCTGTGGTGGACTGTTGGGGCCCTGGCTCCCACTGGAGCCGGCTGGGGTGGGAGGAACAGACAGCCATGACTGACTTGACCAGTGCCTCAGAGCGCTGTGTTTGAGGTTCAGTGTCCTATTGCCCTCAGCTTGAAATTCTGAAGAGATTGGAGGAGGGGCCTGCATTTGTTTTGCCCTGAGCCCTCCTACTGGCAGGGGCCCTGCTTTCTCAGCCGCTTCACTCCAGCCCTGCAATGGGACTTTGACCTCCCCACCCCCTGCACTAGAGCAGGACCAGGGTGGTCTCAGACAGAGCTGGTTTCTGGACCTCCCCTCTGCAGAGGGTCAGTGTGATAAAGGGGTAGGAGGTCCAAGGGCTTTGACTGGTGTCCTCGGGATGGAGTGAACTCTGGAATCCAGCTCTGGCTACTCTGGGCTGGTCAGGAATGCAGGATTCAGTGGGACTGAGGGCCAGGCAGACTGCTCTCCTTGCAAGTCTCTCCTGGGGGAATTACCTGGGACACAAACCTGCTTCCTCAACTAGAAAACTGCTCACTGGCTGCTGGGGCCGTGGGAAGTGAGAAATGTAGGGGTACCAGACATCAAGGTACCACTCATCTGTCTGTGTGTTCTGCAGGGTCCCAGGACCCTCAATTTGCCAAATCCTGTGTTTACTTTGGGGCCAGCACTGCCTATCTAGCAAGAGAGGCTTCAGCTTTATCTCCTACTCGGTTAGGATCTCAGCAAAGGAGGAGGCAAAGAGTAACTTACAGGGGACCTGTGGGATGATTACCTCAACCCTCAGAAGCCTGCTGCCTATCCTCCTCAGTTATAAACAAAGTTCTGGGCCGTGGATGTAGCTCAGTGGTGCTGTGCCTGTCTGGCAAGCTCAAGATCCTGAGTTCGATCCCCAGTAGCAGGGGAAACAAAACAAAACAAAACAATGTTCAGAGCCCTACAGCTAAGGGTAAAGTCCAAGACAGACATGTGGCCCATAGCCTACCCCACACTGTTCAGACCCAGCAGGGATGTGTATCTACACAGCCCAAAGGAGCACACAGAGCTTGAGTAGCTCAGGAGATCCAGAGGTTTCCTAAATTCAGCCCCGGTTACCTCCAGTACTCTGATCTCTAACCTCTCCCTGGATGCACAGAGCAGGTTTTGTAGGCCTGGACCCCTGAGGATGCCAAGAAATACCCCCTCCTTCCCCCTGCTCCCCTACTCGGGTTCCTGAAACACTCAGCTCAGATAAAGTGCCCCGAGGTGAGGACCTTTTTGCAGGGACCCCCTCCCTTGGGAAGGGAGCCTTCTATTAACTCTAGGCTGCCCCTGAATGGGAGGGATGAGCATGATGAGAATCACAGGGAAGCCCAGGGAAGCCCTGAGACCAGCCAATGCCCAAGTCTCACATCAGTTCCTGGAGCCTTGACACTAAAGAATGACAAAGACTGTTTCTGCACACTTTGTAGAAGTTACATCCCTTAGTCAGATAATGCCTCTGGTCCCCTTTCCCCATGGCCTGTCTGTGACAGTCTCTATCTGACTCCTGTTCACCCTCCTCCAGGATATCAGAGTCTCCACTGCTTCAGGCAGCCAAGGAAAATGACCTCTGTACACTTAAAAGACTTCTGCTAGGCCAAAGCTGTGACTTTCGACAAAGAGGTGAGATCAGTGTGTAACGGGACACAGGTGGGGCGGAAGGACCTATATGGGACCCAAGACTACATAGGTTTTTGAAACAGGCCCTTTGAGTTTTCTCTGGAGCCAGATGCCCCTTCCCTGAGGGACTATGGAAAGTGCCTGGCATCCTTGTCCTACTCCACTCCAGGAGCCCTGGGGGAGACAGCTCTACATGTAGCCACCCTCTATGACAACCTGGAGGCCGCCATGCTGCTGATGGAGGCTGCTCCTGACCTGGTCATGGAGCCCACTCTGTGCGAGCCTTATGTAGGTGAGGTTGCTGCATGGTAACTCCCAGTGGGTGTGGGAAGGACTGCTGCCACTTTTTCACCTGGGTCTGGGAACGGTGGCCCTGGGGAATGGTAGAGGGTCAAGAGAAAGGACTCTCAGGACCTATGAGAAATGTAGTAGCTTGGTCTACACTTTGAACATCCCTGATTTCCTTGAGCTGTTTAAATGTCATTCCAACTTTCTCATGGTCCCTTAGGACATATCTCTAGGTTCTCATAGTGACAGCAGAGTGAGTGACAGCAAGACCCCTGGTACCCAGTAGTGGAGGGGTAGGGACAGACAGCTGGGCAGGGAACAGTGGTCCTTGTCCCTGACCACTCTGCAGAGCCCTGGGCTCTGTATGAGGACCTGTCCGGAAGCTCCTGCAAGGGGATCAGGGTGTGGGGTTGTTGTACCCCTGCCAGAATTGGGCACAGACCGGGGGTACAGACCAGGGACTGACAGCTCTCTCTGTCCAGGTCAGACTGCCCTGCACATTGCTGTCATGAACCAGAACGTGAACCTGGTGCGCATGCTGCTCTCCCACGGTGCCAGTGTCTGTGCCAGGGCTACAGGCCTTGGCTTTGAACACAGTCCCCACAACCTGGTCTACTATGGTGAGTGCCAGGGGCAGGTTGGCAAAAAGGGGAGGAGGACAGCAGGGTGACATGGGGGGTGCCTAAGGTGGGCTCTCTTCAGATGGAGCAGCCCTTGCAGGACTGAAGGCCAGAGACCATGGCCCACACAAGCTCTGCCCTGTCCTTTCCTCTGGTTCTGCTGGACAAGGGTCCCCAACACCCAGCCTGGGTGTAGGGAGGAGGAGGCAGTCACCTGGGGACACTGCCCCTCTCATCCTGGGACCCCGCTGTCTCCTGCCACTGATCCCACTGTGTCCCCAGGGGAGCACCCTCTGTCCTTTGCAGCCTGCGTGGGCAGCGAGGAGATCGTGCGGCTGCTCATAGAGCACGGAGCTGACATCCGGGCCCAGGACTCACTGGGTAGGAACTGGATGGGGATGGATACTGGGATGCTGCAGGGGCTATGCAGGTGGGGGTGGGGGAGACAGGCCATCCCAGGTGGGAATGGGGCCATGGGGGACAGTAGGCCTGTGGTCACATGAGAGTCTGCCCTCCCCAGGAAACACTGTGCTGCACATCCTCATCCTGCAGCCCAACAAAACCTTCGCCTGCCAGATGTACAACTTGGTGTTGTCCTATGATGGAGGGGACCACCTGCAATGCCTGGAGCTCGTGCCCAACCACCAGGGCCTGACCCCCTTCAAGCTGGCTGGAGTGGAGGGCAACACTGTGGTGAGGGGCTGCCCAGCCCTGACGCATCTCCCTAAGGACCTTTCACTCCAAACTCCCAAGGAGTTCCCACTCCATCACTAAAACCTTCACCTCAGCTTCCCCTACTCAGGAGCCCTGAGCCTTTCACCTTAGGTAGCAGCCACGGGAACCCAAGCTCTCTCTCCATTCACCTGCTCTATTCCTTCAGAGCTTTATGGGGTTGGTCTAGGAAAGATGACAATGCAAGAAAAAGATTCATGTAAGCAGAAGATCTCCAATTCCCCACTGTCTTTTGGTCCCAGAGTGGGCTCCTGGCCTAGTCCACAGTGTAGTTCTCTGGGACCAGCTTCCCACGCAGTAACCTCCCTTTCTCCCCTGTGCCCTCTCAGATGTTCCAACACCTGATGCAGAAGCGGAAGCACATCCAGTGGTCATGCGGGCCACTGACATCTACTCTCTACGACCTCACGGAGATCGACTCTTGGGGAGAGGAGCTGTCCTTTCTAGAGCTTGTGGTCTCCTCTAAGAAGCGGGAGGTATGGATGTCAGGGAGTCTGGGACCTGTGGATGAGCAACTTAGGGTCTGCCCAGAGCCCAGTTTCCAGCTGTATCCTGGGCCTCAGACACTTCCCAGCCTTTCATTAGATGGAGATGAGACCAGTCCCAGGGAGCTGTGGGGAAAGCCCAGTCTACACTTCCCTCCTGACTGCATTCTCCCTCTGCTTAGCTCAGTCTCTTCCAGTTACCTCCCTCATTCTATCCCTTCAGATGAGCAATTCCCCAAATAGAAGGTGTTTTCTTCCCCTTCCTTCCTTCCCTCCCTTCCTCCCTCCCTCCTTCCTTTCTTCCTTCTTTCCTTCCTTCCTTCCTTTCTTCCTTCTTTCCTTCCTTCCCTCCCTCCCTCCTTCAGCATATTGAACACCTGTCACACTGCTGCTACATAGACAAACACATTGCCTGCCAGCCAACTTCCTCAATCTATAGTCCCTGTCCTCAATGACTTCAGTACAGTACAAAGTGGATGATAATAGGTCTGTGTGTGCTATGTGCAGGGACAGTAAAATGGAGGAGAGGTCCCCTTGGTTTGGATGGGCCAAAGATGTTTTAAATCTCTTTTTTTTAATTCTTCAGATGCATCATCCCGTCCACCATATTTTTTTTCTATCTGAACTTCTTGCTATCTACTTATATCAGAGCTAAATTGTTCCCACATCCTACTACCTGCTCTAATGATTTTTCTTCAGTCAAAGAGGACGTCTAGAACAAATGTAATTTCTGCTTGGAGTTCTCAACTGCTTTATATTTCATTTAGGAAAAAAAATGAAATTCCCTACCTTGACATCCTTAAGGTACAAGGTACAATGATCTAGCTCTCATTTACTCTGACCATCACAATTTCTGTCCACAAACCCCAACAAATTCTCACACATTCCCAACTTCACCTCACTTGCAAGTGGTCATTGGCTTCTCATACCTTCCTGCCCTGGCAACTGCTGATTCTTCATGGAATGATCTCTGCCAGTTCTCCTTTCACTCAACTAATTGCTACTTATCTGTCAAAACCACAGTGATTTAGTTAGACAATAACACAGTGGTGCTGTGGTGTTTTATGTTTACTTCTGTAGTAGTTTTTCTGTAGTACTAGCATAAAGGATGAATTGCCTAGGTGTCTGCCAAAGAAATACTTAACTAAATGACTGATGAGAGTGATGGCTACTGCCCTGCCCCTCTGGGACCCAGTGGGAAACACGACACTCCTTACCATGTGGATCACCCCAAGCCCTTCTCCTTGCGTGGCAGGCTCGCCAGATCTTAGAACAGACCCCAGTGAAGGAGCTGGTGACTTTGAAGTGGAGGAAATACGGACGGCCCTACTTCTGCATCCTGGGTGCCTTGTACATTCTCTACATGATCTGCTTCACCACGTGCTGTGTCTACCGCCCCCTCAAGTTCCGTGATGAGAACCGCACACACTCTCGAGATAGCACTGTCCTCCAACAGAAACTGCTACAGGTGACTCTTCTCAGAAGGCCTGAAGGGAATAGTATATGGGGTGATGGTGCTGCAGACAAGACAGATGCTATCCACACATGAGCTCCACAAGTGCCAGGCTCCCAGTCACCAGGGTAGGACCTAGACTTAAAGGAGCTAGAGACAGAGCTTGATGACTAGAAGAGCATCTATCCAGGGAGCTACAGATATTTTTTCACAGAAATTTTGACAGAGTGCATTTGTGAAATTTCTTATAATTTATGAAGAAGCCCAGTTCTTTATAGTGATTTTTTTTTCACAGAAATTTTGGTAGAGTGCATCTGTGAAATTTCTTATAGTTTACAAAGAAAGTCAGCTCTTCATAGTGATTGTTCAAGGAAAACCTTATTGTTCTAAGGGTGGAAAATTCTACTCTCAGTCCATCTCTGGGTCCATAGCGGGTGTGCTAGGGCAACACAGCCCTTCAGGCCCCTAAATATGAGTGCTTTGAAATAGCTTTGAGTGCTGTGAAATCTGGTGAAATAGTGTGTCATCTGTCTGACTACTGGAAACTATGTAGAAGGATGCTTGGGTTGATAGCAGGATCGATTAAATAATCTCTAATGTCTTCTTACTATTTGTGAGCCTGCAGACCTGGGGTGATAAGGATGGCTAATTAGAGGTGTGTAGTAGATATAACTCTACTATTTGTTAGTGGAACCAAGGCTTCCTTTGTATGTAACAGAATAAACTCAAATAAGTACTTTTGAACATATGAATTTAACCAGTATAGCTATACTTGGCCCTGAGTGTAGGGAAGATCTGTGATCCTCTCATGCAGTAGTAAGTCAATTTGGCTTAGATCAGGGGCTTCCAAACTCATCACCATGATTGAAAGATTTTGCTTCACAGTGTACCAAATTTGTTAACTAATAGGAAGTTCTCTTTTTCTTCCTACTATTTTATTACTTAAAAGTCTTAGAAATATAAAAATGCACAAATATAGTGTCTGGACTTAGAGAATGTAATTGTCATTCAGTTAGCCTGTGGAGCTGCTGCTTAGTTAAATAAATACTTCAGTAGCCAGTAACATTAGTAAATCTGGAAACACTGGGCTTTGTGGGAATTCTCGGGATTTCTCTGTGGCTCTTTTAGGATCCGCAGAATCATTGACCTTAAATCTGATTATGTGGATCCCTACTTTTCATCACTGAGAGTTCTGAGAGAAGCAGGGCAGTAACATTTCAGAACACTTGAAATTAGGAAAAACAAACTCCTCTATTTATAGAGGCAGCACAAATACCTCAGAGGGTCACTTATATAAGTATGGAGTTAGTTTACCCAATTTTGGAGATATTTTAATGACTAAGATGAGTCATCATTCAGCCATAAAAGTTATGCTTTTATGTGTAGTAGTGTAGCCACTATACATATGTATAGTATACATACTTCCACATATACATAGTATATATACTTACATAGTCAGTATATGTATGAATAGTGTACATACACTGCACCTAGTGGCTCAGTATAGGCACTACTCACTGAAAGTGTAAGGATGTGAGACAGAGGTACAAACAGTGAGAGTTTTGTGCATCAACTTTGATAATATGAGTTACATTTTCTTATTCTTATCTCATAGGAACATTTCTAATGAAAACAATATATGAACATGATTTAAAAATCGAATGACAGGGGGCCAGGGATTTAGCTCAGTGGTTCTGCCACCTGCCTTGCAAATACAAGGTCCCGAGTTTGATCCCTGGTACCAAAAAAAAAAAAAAAAGTCAAATGACAGATGTGATGAGGAGCAACCATATCTTGAATGCGGCTCCTCCAGTCCATGTCTCATTCCCTGGGGACAACCAGCTTTTACTTCCTGTAGCTTACTAATTCTGCTCTCACCTCTACACTCTACACTGTTAAAAATCTCGATTTGTTAATGAAGTTTGGATGCTACCCAGTGAATTTGTGTTATAAAGGTTTGAAGAACTTCCTCCATTGCCATCTCAGCAACATTTTTGCCCTGAGAGTCTTAGGGAGCCGGAAAGGCACAAAATAGAGAAAGTGTTGTGATGATACTCACATTTTAGAAGCCCAGTCCAGAAATTTGGTGGGGAGATGGATTAAAAGAGGAATTTTTCTGAAGGCATTAAGTCTGTGAATGTAGGGAAAATAAAATATTTGAGAGAGAATTATAAGACTCCAAAAACAGGATTTGTGAAACAGCATCACTGATAATTTACTTTCCTTAATACATATAACTTTGTTATGATTGCCAAACTTTTGATCAAGGGATACAAATCTAGAGAGTTATGGATTAGCCTCTTGATTTAAATAGAATAATCTTGAATTCTTTCCCCTCAAAAATGCAATTCTAAAAATTATTTGTTTGGGTTTAGGGTTTAATTCTAGGAATGTCAGGGTGGTTTATTAAAGTAGAATCATATCGGTAGGCCCTACCAAGGTCCCCAGTCGCCCGGAACATGCTGAATCAGCCCGCTACAGACAGGCAGGTCTGCGCACGCCCTGCCAAGGTCGTAAGTCGCGCTGAACACGCTGAATCAGGCCATGCCCTGACAACAATCCACTGGACACCCTGCCTCTGCTCCTCTGTACAGCCACCTGGTTCCACACTACAAAGACACAGAGGACACTGGACCACCAGACCACGGTACTGAGTCTTGCCGCTCCTGGCCCAGAGGTAGGGGCTTCTGAGCCACCATCCCCCTGCTCCTGGTCAAGAGGAAGGGGCTTCCCAGCCACCATCCTTCCCGCTGCTCCCAGGCCAGAGGAAAGGGCTTTTGGGCCACCATCCCTACTGCTGCTCCCAGCCCCTGTCTCACTTCTCCCAGCTCAGAGGACGTAATCCATGCAGGAGGCAACAGCACCACCACCACCACCCCCCAGTCAAAATGAGAAAACACATAAATAAGTCTCAAAACCAGACTTCCAGATCACCTACAGCAACCCCAAAGGGAAATGAGATGGAACACTCTGATACTCAACAACCTGGACACACTGACCTGGCAACAAAAGCAGGTCTGGAAAAAAATGAAATCAGAAATCATTTCTCAGAAAAACAGGAGGAATTGTGCTCCTGGTGCAAGACATGATTAATAAATCTAGAGAGGAGCTGAGGAACATGATGGAATCCCAACATAAGAAACAAATGGAATCCATAAAACAGA